TCATGAATTCTTTTATCATGCTTATAATGTTCTTTAGAATTCTGTGCCCTCAGTTATCTCTAGGGGGTTCTCATTGTATACCTCCTCTATAGGACTGTTGGTGCTTGGTGGGGACATATTATTTGAGTTTTTCTTGTTTTTATTTTTTCGTTGTGACTTTGGCATGTGGATTTCTTTCGTTGTTTCTGATTCTTGTGTGAGACTCAAGCCTTCCTTTGTTGAGTTTAGGTCTGGCTGTTTATATATTTGATGTGCCTTTGTTGTTTTCTTATTGGGTATGAAAAGCTGGTTTGTCTAGATTTCAGGTTCTCCCTTTTGGTTTTTATATTGGAGGTGCCTAATGGCTTTATTCCAGCTGCTCATGAGTTCACATAGAGGCCCAAGTCTGATGAGGGTCAGATGCTCTCGAACTTCTTACTTCTGGGTCCTTCTAGTTAGCAGGCACAGTACAATTTGGGAGGCTTTCTGAGTGGAGTAGGATTCAGGCTCTCTCAGGCAGTCAGGGAAGGAGGCTAGTCTCAGGAATCCCAGGCAAGTTGGGGTTGGGGACAGCCAGGAAAGAAAGCTGGTCTCAGGTGTGTAATGGCAAGTTGAGGGTGGGGGCAGGCTGTGAAAGCGCTAGGAAACTAGACTGAAGAATTGGGTTGGTCTGGGTGCAAGGGGATCACAATGCAGTGGGCCATGAGGGTCATCCAGAGGTCTGGGGTGCCAACAGCAGAAGCAGGCCTGTGCCCATGCCCATGTCTAGAAGGAGACCCAGATGTCCATTGTTTTGATTTTTGACACAAGGTCTTACTATATAGTCTAGACTGACCTTGAACTATGTAACCCAAACTGGCCTCAGACTTGTAGTGATCTTCCTGCCTCAACCTCCTGAGTGGAGGGATTATAGGCATAGCTACCATGCCTGGTTACTGTTTGATGATTTTGAGTTGAAGAATACTTGCCTCTTCTTTTTCTTTAACTTAAAAAAAAATTATTGAGAATTTCATACATGCATATAAGGTGATTTGATCAAATCCATGCCCACTCCCTCCCCTCCAACTCTTCCCATATCTCCCCATCACTTTTTCCTGAACAACTTTGTGTCCTTTTTTTCCGAAACCAACTAGCATTTTCGTTTAGAATGCTTATAGAATCAATTTCCCCTCTCTATATTTTCTTTCTTTCTTTCTTTCTTTCTTTCTTTCTTTCTTTCTTTCTTTCTTTCTTTCTTTCTTCTTTTTTAATGGAGCTTTTTGCTACTCTGACATTCCCTCCTCTGATGAGGTAACCCTAAAATTTTTTAGGGATTAGATAAGAGCTGCCAAATGCTTTTGACATTTCTGGCCTTTGGAACAGAGTATGTTGCTAAGAGACCCAAGGACATTTTGATTTTTAGCCAAGAAGCTTGCTATTTTTCTATGAGGCCTTTTTACACTAACTGCCCAACCAGTTAGTTTTTACACTAACTTCCTCCCTCCTATTCTTATCCACCACCCCCTGAAGAGGTTACCCAAATTGCTGATAGAGAATCAGGACACAGACCTCTCTGGCTTCTTTTGTGCTGAACAGGGATGTAGGGTTAGGCAACTGGGGTACCTCATCAGTGGGTCTATCTAAAGGACTCCCAAATTGCCTAACTCTTAACTGTAGAGAGAAAAGAAAATCCTTGACTGGTGCCTAGGAGATGTGAAGGAAAATTAAAGGCAAGAGTAGTTAGTATTAAAAGTTCTAGACAGGGAACCAGAAAAATGTCAAAACAGGGCAAATTTCAAATGTTCATATCAGAGGCCATTGGAATTTCTTGACGAGAGCTTCCAAAAGCACCCCTCCATTTGGTTCCACCTCATTTTTGTTTTGCCTGTCAAGGCTGCACTCGAGAGTATGGACTCAGGGTTTGTTTTCATTGCCTCTTCTTTTTATTGTAAAGAGTTCCTTCTAGCTGGTCATGGTGGCTCTTGCCTTTAATCCCAGCACTTGGGAGGCAGAGGAAGTGGATCTCTGTGCGTTCAAGGCCAACGTGCTCCTGGTCTACATAGGGAGACCCTGTCTCAAGAAGACCAAAAAAGAAAAAAGAAAAAAAGGCATCTTCTCTTTTAGGGCTTGATCCAAATGGTGCCTAAATTTTAACTTGGTTTTTCTTGGAAGGAGGGTGGATAGATGTTTGCTTTTAGAGTAGGGGTGGCATATCAGGCCTGTGAGAAGAATTTCTAAGTTTTTACACAGTTGAGAAAAAAGTCAAAAAAAAAAAATGTTTCACGAAGTTCATATTTCAGTGTCCTGGCTTTTTATTGGAACCAGCCAAACTCACTGCTGTGTCACCTGTGCCTGCTCTTCTGCTCCAGCTACAATGCTGATTTGTTGCAATAGAGACAGTGTAGCCTGCCTGCAGTATTTACTACCTGGCTTTCTGGTTTTGGTCTTTTTGAGACAGGCTCTCCCTGGAGCCCCAGCTAGTCTGGAACTTTTTATAGAAAGATTTGCTGATCTCTACTATAGTAAAACATTTAGAGATAAGCAGGATTGTATTAAAATTTTTATACAAAATTTCTTTAGAAAAACAGCCCACAAATGTATTGAGATAAAATTGACATGGAACAGATTGCACAGATTTCAAGTATACAATTTGATAAGTTTTGATGTAAGTGCTTATGAAGTCAGGAGTGAAAGTATCAACCAGATGTGGTGGGATATACCTTCAAGTCTAGTACTTAATGGGTGGAGGCAGGAGGATCAAGAATTCAAAGCCAGCCTCACCTATACGGTGTGTTCAAGGCTAGCCTACACTGCATGAGATCACTCTGTCTCCAAACAAAACAGTGAAAGGGTCCATTTTCTTTTGAAATGTCCATGTGCTTCTTTGAAACTCCTTGCTCTTACTTTCTTCCCATCCCACGTTGTCCTCAACCACTACTGATGGACCTTCTGTCACTAGACATTACGTTTTCTAGAATTGTCTAAAACTGAACTTACAGTGTACTTCTTCTGTATGTGTAGTATATATGTGTGTACATGTTTATGTGTACATGAAAATATGCATGCAAGACCATATACACGTGTGTACATATGGAAACCAGGTGCTAATGTGGGGTGTCTTCCTCTATTGCTCTCCTTATTTTTTGAGACAGGTCTCTCACAACTCTGGAGGTCATAGTTTTTGTTAGGTTTACTGGACAGCAAGCCCCAGCAATCTGCCAATCTCTACCTCCCCAGCACTGGGATTACAGAGATGCACGGTGCCACTCTTAACTTTTTATGTGGGTGCTGGGGATTGCACCCAGGTCTTCAGGCTTGCAGAGCAAGTATGTCACTGACAGAACTATCTTTCCAGCCCTATGTAGGCCTTTTTTATCTGACTAATTTTACTCAGCAAAATTACTTTGTGATTTATCCATGTTATCTGTCATGTAAGTAGTACATTTCCTTTTTTTTTTGAGTAGTATTGCATTGTATGAACATATTAGATTTGCTTATTCATTACCTTTGAATGGGGATTTTCTGATCATTGAAAACTTTCTATGAACTTTTGTGTACAAGTCTTTGCTTGGATGCATGCTTTCTCGACTCTTAAGTAAATGTTTTAGGAGTGAAATGACTTGATTAGAAGAAAATTGTAATTTCTGACCTAAGAAACTGTCAGAAGGTTTCAAAGTTGTTGAACATCTAACACTCCACAAGCATATTTTAGAGTACCAGTTCTCCCATAGGGACCAACATTTGCCATTATTCCAGAGTGTCTGGACTTCTATTTGTATGAAGGATAAGGAAGAGTTTGTAATAATCAGATTAATGTAGGTTATGTAGTCTGCAAAGAAGTAGATTAATCTTTGGGGTCTAAGTGACCTATATTTATTGAGAAAATTGACTAAAGACATAAAATTCTCCAGCATGTCACTGTAATTGTAAACATAAATTGTATAACCTGATACACCCAGCTTTCTCTGGGATCATGGTTCTCATGGACACTGTAAGCTTCTTACATATTTGCCAATGAAAGGGGAGCTTGCCCAAACACAGATTCTCTGTACCATCCTTAGGACTCTGAACCAGAGGTCTGGGCTGAAGCCCAAAACCCCAAGTTTCTTTTAAGAGACACTGTAGTTGAGTCTGTTGTATACTCTTTTTATACTTCAGTGTTATAATTTGAGGGACAATTTGCTTATAGTGTAGTGGTAGTAAGTACAATTCAGATACAACATAATGATTTCAAGTGAGTTCTTTGGTTTACTAAGTTGATATAATCTTCCTCATGTTTTATTTTGGTTTTAAAAAAATATTTTAAAAATTAATAAATTATATATTATATCTATAGCATACATATATAATATAATATAATATAATATAATATAATGTGTGTATTTGAGACAGGGTCTTCCTGTAGCCCTAGCTGGCCTGGAACTTGCTATGTAGACCAGGCTGGCCTTGAACTTACAGAGATCTGCCTGCTTCTGCCTCCCTAGTTTTGGAATCAAAAGTGTGTGCCACCATGCCTGGCTTTTATTTATTTATTTTTTTATGTATATGAGTGTATTGTCTGCATGTATGTAAGTCCACCCATGTTGTGCAATGCCCACAGAGGTAAGAAGAGGGCTCTGGACCTGGCTGCCATGTGGGTGTTGGGGACTGAACCTGGGTTATCTGTCAGAGCAGCCAGTACTCTTAACCTCTGAGCTATCACTCCCTTTTTGCCATTTTTGAATAGTTTACATGTTATAGCTAGATTTGCCCATTTCAAATCCATCCCTTACCCCACCTCTAGCTTCATAGTCATTCTCCACCCCCCATTCCAGATAACCTGAGTCCTCAGGATGGAATCTATGGGAATAAATTGCTACTATAAGGTTAAATTAAAAGCTTTTTCTTTTCCATCCAGAGTAACCATTTACTGTCTTAAAGAGTCATGTGCTGAGTTCATTCTCTTAAATAGTATATAAGGTTGGGATGTTTATTTCTGCTAATCATAGAGTGAAATTTATATACAATTTGCTTTTTTCTTTTAAAAAATATATTCTATTTAGAACTATTTTGGTGGAAAACTCTCTGCTCAAGGGAAAATGCCTTGGATTGAATATAATAATGAAAAAGTTTCTGGCACAGAATTCATAATTGACTTTCTGGAAGAGAAACTTGGAGTGAACTTAAACAAAAACCTTGGCCCTCATGAGAGAGCTGTGTCTCGCGCTGTGACCAAGATGGTGGAAGAGCACTTCTACTGGTGAGTCCCCTGCGGGTGTGTCCCTGTGTGTTCCCACTCAGCGCAAGTTTTCTTTCAATTTTCAGGCAGTCCACCTACCTTCTCAAAAATTTTCTGTTAAGAGCTTGGGAGTCTGACCGACTTAAGGCCAGGCTTTGCCTGCTGTCTCTGGGTATCTAGACCAGAATTCCATGGGCATTCCTGAAGAGGTCCAGTTACTAAGAAGCTTTGGCCATATAACTCTGTCACAGCACTTGACACTGCCATTTTAGCAGAAAAGCAGCAATTGACAATAAGCCTGGCAGTACATGAGCACAACAGTGTTCTAGTAACACTCATCATGTACACTGAACTTGAGTTTCATCTGTTATAACATGATCTTCCTTTGAACTTTCTCCAATCATTTACACATGCAAACCCTTCACAGCCTGTGTACTGCAGCTGGCTGGTCTTTGATCAGATGAGGGCTCTAGTTCAGTTGTTGGGGCTCATCACAAAGGGCTGAATGAAAAATACATGAGACACAGAGGAGGAGGGAATATAAGAGGCAGATTCCTCTGTGGAATAAATTACATGTTTGTGAAATCATGTCACTTTCCCTTACATACATTTCTGTGTTCCAGAAATAAAGCACAGTTTCTTTGCCATGACTGCTGGATTCCTAGTTCTCTCCCAAGTTTGAAGCATCACACAGTTGTATTGACCAATTGCTTTGTTCTGCTTGTGGTCATCAGAGCAGCATGTGAATTAGTCAGGTTTGGCTCTTCTTGCTTTGCAATCTCACGTGTCTTGTGGACTTTTCCCCCTGTACACCAATTTTCTGGCATTTGTGTCCCTTTATATATCCCCTTAGGTGACAGAAAGTTTCTCTCCAATTTCTGCAACTATTACCTTGTCTCGAATATTTGATTAAGAGTCATTAAGCCCACTTTCTTGACATTGTTATTTCCTGTCCAGATGCTGGTCCAGGAGCTTTTACTAACCGCTTCCTCCCACCAATTTGCCTTTTGTGGGGCTGAGTGTGGGTTTCTTCCTCCTTGGCTCATTATTTCCTCCATTTTTCCCCTTTCCAAGTGAAAACCAGACTGCTCTTTTCTCTGAGATTTTAAGTGCCCCTCTGTTTTCCTCTTCCTACTTTTGGTTCCTATTGTTTATCCTTAGCTGATTACTGCTTTATTCCTCTTTCCAATCACTGTAGAGGTGAAGGAGGACTGAGCAAGGAAATGCCTTGTGGTAGAGTACAGACTGATTAGTGTGGAAGATATCAGACTTGAAGGTGCTTGAGTCTTTTCCATATAATGCTGATGGAGTTCCTGGGGCTCTTCTGAGTGCAGGAGCCACAGTAGGGACCAAGATGCATGAATGCACAACACTTCTGACTTCTGGGAAAAGACTTGTGGGAAGGAGTTCATCTCGCTTGTTTACCTGGCCACAAACCCAGTTTTGCAGTGATGGAGGATAGCAAAGAGCCTGCCTAGGACTACACTGATATACCACCTTTTTAAAAAAATATTTTATTTATTATTTTTATTTTATGTGTATGCGTGTATTGCCTGCGTGTAGGTAAGTGCACCTGTGTCATGCAGTGCCCATGGAGGACAGAAGAGGCTGTCCGATCCCCTGGAACTGGAGTTATGGATAGTTGTTAGTTGCCGTGTGGGTCCTGGGATTCGAACCCGGGTCTTCTGTAAGAACAACCAGTGTTCTTAGCCACTGAACCATCTCTCCAGCCCCTGACATACCATCTTTTAACAGTGTTCTACAAAGCAAAACCTCATGTGAGAGATGGGAGAGCTATCACACTGACAGTGTCTGGAAAGCTGCAGAAACTGTTTTCTTTGGTACTTTAGCTGCAACTTTTAGATTCTTATAGTAACTCAGAAAACATATACTCTGGTTTAAAAGTTTGGATTCAGCAAAATTCCCAACTCTCATATGCCAGGCTATTTGCTCTGTGCATTGTTTTCTATAACTTTGCTCTTTTAGAAGTTCATGGATGCCCTCCCCATCCTCTTTCTTTACTAGCCCTCAGCTAATACTGGAGGTAGGACAGGGCAGGTGTAGATATGAGGGGGAGGGGGAGGGAGAGTTGGCAGTAGTAAGGTCATTAACTTCCAAGTGCTTTATCTACTGGGTCAGCACTATTTCTCTAATTTGGGGGCATTTTGAAATGCAATGAATTTTTTTTTTTTTTTTTTTTGGTATTTTTGGTATTTTTGAGACAGGGTCTCCCTGTAGCCCCAGGTGGCCTGGAACTCCACTAAGTAGACCAGACTGGCTTAGCTTTGAATTTATAGAGATCTGCCTGCCTCTGCCTAAAGGCACCACCACACCTGGCTGCAGTGAATTTTCATGTCTAGTAGCCAACGGACAGCAAATCTTTGTCTGTTCTGTTTCTTTTCCTCCCTTTTCTCCCCAAAGTCTTAAGATCCTCCTCCCTCAGCCTCCAGATACCTGAGATTATAAGCACGTGCCTCTGTGATGGCTCCTTTCTGCTTAAGGCTCCCAAGCCTTTAGCTAAAGTCTTGATTTGGGGAGACCCTGAAGTGGATTCCCCCAGGGAGCTTTACATCCCATGGAGAGATGAATCTCTATTCTCACAGAAAAATGCCTAAGGCCTGAATCCCTGGACTCTTCCCTCAGGCTCTTCTGCCCTTCCACTCTTCTGATCTCAGGGATCAGAATGGAAGCCAGACCCGCATGGGGAACTGATTTCAATATATGGGAAAATAACAGAAGTTTCTGTGAGATCTACTTATAGTCTAACAATCACTGAGCACATAGGCTGTGACTAGAGTTACAGAAGTGAGAGAGGAAAGTCAATAAATGCACAATGCTTGACTCAATTTTTTGATGATCTGGTTTTTAGATGTATTTTATTTTGACCTTAAAGTTAAAAAATACTCAGGTATAATTTTCTGAAAAGCAAAGGCAGTAGAAGCTGGCATTATCACCTAACATGTTATAATTTTAAGCTCTGTTTTAGGTCCAGTCAAGTAAGTGCACTCAGCTATAAAATGGTTTTTCCTGCATTTGAAATCTATATAACTATGTCCCACTTGCATTATAAAGCTGTCACTGAAGATGAATTAGACTGGTTTCTCTTCTTGCTTTTGTTCTACTGAGTGCTTAAGTTAGAGCCAATGCTTGGAAACTGGTATAAGAGGATGTCTTAGATAGGGAATCAAAGGACTGAAATGAAATTGATTTTTGTGACATTGTAGTGCCTTCAGTGAGACATACTGCCCCCTTGTGGAAATTTCCTTGTGGAAATTCTTCCAAAGCTTCAGGGTGCACCAGGGCACCAACATTTTCACAGCTGCAAACCTGCTTGAGTTGTCCTTAGCTTTCTAATTTTTGAGCTTCAGTTTTTGGAGGTGCTGATATTGAACACAGGGCCTCAGGCATGCTAGAAAAGCTCCTTTTACCAAGTCATATCCCCAGCCTAAGCTTGGCTTCTGATGTAGTTTCAGTGACTGAGGGAGGTGGGAGGCTTTCATAAAGTGCTTACAGAAGAAGATGTGTGAAACCCAGAACACCACCCTTGACTGAAGCCTCACTGATGTGCTCCACTTTTCATTCTCCCCTCCAGCTTTACTTGCAATGAGAGCCCCTGTTTAGAACCTTGGTGAAACTGGGTGATAATTGCACAAATATGTCATAAAACCAGAATATAAGTAAAAGACAGCAAGGATATGGTCCCACATGGAGAAGAACATTCTTATGAATTGAAAGGCTGTTCTGAGATTCAGCAGTTTGTCATGGTTTATATAGGCTTCTATGTATTACTATTCATTTATGGCTTGGGCATGACTTCATATTAGGTTATGGTGAAAGATATTTTCATTAAGATATCAAGGATCAAAGACTCGGAGTATAGTTCAGAGGTTGAGTGCCTTGCATGCATGAGCTATTGAGTTTGATTCAGTACTGAAAACAAAACAAAACAAACCAGGAATCAACATTTCTTGTCCTGCTCCTGTCCTCCTCTCTCCCCCTTCCCCCTTTTTTTTTGTTTCATATGAGACAGGATCTTGTTTTGTAGTCCAGGCTGACCTTAAACTCATAACTCTCCTGCCTCAGCTTCCTAGGTTCTGGGATTACAGGCATGCACAATGATGCCTGGTCTTTGGCCTGTTTTTTGATTTCCTTTAGAAATGTTTGAGCAAGTTCTAAATCTTTAAAATTTCTTTGACTCCATTTTGCAGGGGGATCAGATGCATTAGTTGTGATAAGGAAAATGAGTCTCAACCTCCTGAAATACATTTTCACATGATAAATTACTTTAATTGCTTGGTCTAGCCTGCTTTCCCAGTTAGCACTTCCTGCTAACTGTAGTTAATAATTCATGATTTCTTGGGCTTCTTCCCAGCAGAGTGGAGCCGTGAATACCCGAGAAAAAGAGTATCAGCCCTTTCTTCCTCCTTAGGCACTTTGCTGTCAACTCTTCTAAGTACATGTCATCCCTTGGAACTACCATGGAGCCATTGTTTACTGTCTTCTTTCAGCTTCTCCAACTCTCTCCCAACAATGACAGGGGAAGGGCTTGAGGTCTCCCTCCAGCCTGAAAGCCATCTGAGGGTAGGGACATGGTGCCTGGATACTTGTAGTGATTGATTTTATTGCTAAAGAATTAATTATTGATTGAATGAAAAGGGACTTTGCACTGGGCCAACGTGGCTCCATGGTTAGACACTTGCTGGAGAGAGATGAGGAGTGTTAGAGTATGTGGTATTATGACAAACCCTAGGAACAACTGGAGCAGCTGGTGAAGGAGTTGATGGTAGGGAAGACTGAGATGTCCAGGCAGAGGAGGCAGTGTCTATAAAAGTTTATAATGAAGAAGGAGGTGTTTAAGAAGTGTCTTAATTCATTTAGGCTGTCATAACAGAATAACAGACTAGGTAGCTTAGGAAAGAGTCCATGTTTTCTATTTGTGGGGACTAGTAAGCCCAAGGTGAAGGTATTGGCAGATTCAGTGTTTAATGAGGGCCAGTTTTTTGTTCTATAGGCAGTCATCG